CCACATGGAATCGGAGGGCGTTGGAAAAACTCTCGCCTACTTGGAATGGAAGGGCGTTGAGTACCTAAAGGATGGAATATCCAAGTAGGTCACCTGACCTGAATCCTCAATTACCCGGTTCGGGCGGAGTTCAATAGGGTGGTCTACGGTGGCGGAGAAATCGACTATCTCGCTGATCTCAGGCACCACATCGCGGTCGCGTGCCAGAATCTCTCGATGGCGCTCGTCCAGAAGGCTGTGGCGGAGTGTCATGATAGTATTTAATATGCTCTTCAATATGGTGGTGAAAATGTCCGATCAGAATTTAATAAAGTGTAACTTATAGCGCCTCGAAAGTCAATGAAGAAAAGTGACTTTTTTTTGGCCCCCCTGTATGGGTCGTCATGGAAAGTTTTTCGAACATAAAAAGTTATGGATAAGTGAAACCAAACAATGTCTCGAAAACTAGGCAGGAGGTGCTATACCCTTGCGAGCGTCAACATCAAAAACTGATTGCTCTTCCTGCGCTCGACTCTTTACTTTTGCCACTACTGCCGCTCAACACAGGTATGCACGCATTTTGAGCCAATTAACGAAGGAGCATAGCGGAACAAGTGCAGGGATGTCATACATATGAGAAACACTTCACCTGTCCCAAATAATCAAGACAGCTCCATAGTTCCTGTCGATGCAGTAAGGGTTTCTGCCATGATGAACTCGGTGGCTAGACGGAGTGTTGAGGAAGTACTCAAGTGGACCGAGGTAAGGAACTGCCTGAAGCGCGATTATTAGGCTCACATTTTCGCTTTTTCAGTCAATTATAATCTGCATTGAAGAGGCTTCAGTTCTGATATTTTGAGCAGTGAGCAGGATTTTATGTGGGATTTGAGCGGGCTACCGGAATTGGTTGCCGTCCCAAAGTAGGCACTTCCTGAGAATGAGTCTTGATTGGCTTGACTCTATGAGCGAAAACTAAAAACAAAATAACTAAAAGAAGGGGAGAGGTATATAGCGCGCATGGGACGGAGAATCAACAACCAAAGAACCTTCGCAACAGTTTCTCTCCCTACACGGTAACAGTGATACCATAGGGAAAAATGAAAATGAAGGCAAAACAGAGACTAGCGAAATATTGTGATTATTACTTACGTTCGAGTGAAGCCAGAATTGAAAGATATAGTTTAGATATCGGTGGGCGATGAATATGTTTGGTGGAATGGCGAGAGCTTGTAGCATGTCGAAAAATAGCATAAAAAAGTCCTAAATGGTCAGGAATTAGGGTGAGAGTAGTAGGTCCAAATTTTTTTTCAATTCCTGGCCGATTCAC